TAGAGGATATCACGCATACGAATACCACACATATACAGACACACATTCAACATTTCCATTAGGTTTTCTCATAACTTTTGGCACTAGAACAATAAACATCAAATTCACAGAGCAGAAGCTATTGAAGTTGCTTATCAATACTACTCAAAGTATGCAGCATCAGCTTGAACACATTTTTGCCATCTGTCAGGCAACAAGGATTTTCTCAGCTTACTTTCGGTATAACACTATCCGCCTAGATACAAATCCCTGAGCCCTTGCACGGTTGATGTTCTCGAAGGCGGTCTGTGTATGCACCGCGTCCCAAATCGTACTCATAAGGCATCAAATTGCGACAAATGCTTCGCTGAGTGGTCAAAATGCAGCAAGCATGGACAAATTCGGTACCAAATAAAAGTTTAGAAAAATCTACACAAAGCAGTATTGATTCGTTACCTGAAGATGGCGGAAATGTGTTCAGGTTGATGGCACATATATTGAATAGAGTTGTTAAGCAAAACTTGAAAACTTCCAGTTAATAAATTCAGTGTTTATTGCTCTAACGACAAATCTTGTGATAGGACTTGATATATCATTTTATTCATTTCACATTGCGTAGTATTTCTATACCACGAAACTTCTGTTTCAATTTGAAAACTACCTCACACGACTGAAATATAGGAACTAAGGAAAGGAATGTACCATCATTTTTGAGAATCAATAGGCAACTGAAATAAAACAAAACGAATTAAGAAGAATATACCTATACGTGCATGATACACCATCCGGTAAGCGACCGTTCTGCATAGAAATCCATGAATTTAACTGTGAGAAATGAAGATGAGATCTGATGGCATTTTTGAGGAACATCGGAGCGAGACCCTACAAGCTCATTAGTGACAAAAAAAAAACTAGAGAATGACAAAATGTTACATATGTATATATATGTACGCATCTATACATGCATTATGTAGACAAGTATATACATACATGTAGATATATACTCATGTATACACATGTACATATATGTACATGCATATACGCACGTATATGTATATATATGTATATACGTACATATATATGTATATATACATACATACATACATATATATATATATATATATATATAGTATATATATATATATATATATATATAGTATATATATATATATATAGTATATATATAGTATAGTATAGTATATAGTATAGTATAGTATAGTATAGTATAGTATAGTATAGTATAGTATAGTATAGTATAGTATAGTATAGTATAGTATATAGTATAGTATATATATGTATATAGTATATATATATATATATATATATATATACTTCTTCCCATGAAGCGTCTCCATAATTTAATGGCGTGATCCCAGCACTTGCATTCGATTCGTTTCCTTCTCTTCATCCTCCACAAAGGTCTTTGAAAATTTCAAGTGTTGCTTCGATTGCTGCTTCAAAGTTTCATTTTCTTCATGAATCCCATAGATATGCTGTTCGAGATGATTCTCCTTCGCATCTTGGTGGTAACCGTGCTAAGGTGGACCCTAAAGCGTTAGCTGACTGATTACAAAGAGTGCTGGAGAGGTGTTCGAATATGCGTCCTGTTCACCTTGATTCCTCATACACTACTTCACTGGTCACTGCATTGAAGCACAGTACCTCTACCCAGTGCGCTATACGATTTCCTCGTATGTATACTCACAGATATTTACAAGCACATATATATATAAAGGATAAAGGATAAAGCTCTCGGCGTTGATCAATCCCTGAGGGATGCGCCATGCATTCGACTTCAATTTTTAACTTCGTTTGAGGTGATTGAATGCATATCTGGCCTTTACAATGACTCGCGGTGGCCTCCCGCTGAATCGAGTCAGTGCTGCTCATCCTCCCAGCAAGTCTGAGACCTGTCTGGTACCAATTTACCGACCCCGGAGGGATGGATGGCTTGGTGAGCCATGAGCGCGAGGTCGAACCATTGACCTCGTGTGCGACGCAGAGCACCTCTAACCACTGCGCCACATGCGCTCACATATATATATATATATATATATATATATATATATATATATGAGAGACACATGTGGCGCGGTGGTTAGAGGTGCTTTGCGTCGCACACGAGGTCAATGGTTCGATTCACATGGTTCACCAAGCCATCCATCCCTCCGGGGTCGGTAAAATGGTACCAGTCTGATCTCAGACTTGTCTTGGAGGATAAGCAGTACTCACTCGGTCCAAGAGAGGCCACTGCGAGTCATTGTAAAAGCAAGATAAGCATTCTATCACCTCAAACGAAATTAAAAATCGAAGACGAATGCATGGTGCGCTCCTCCGGGATTGATCAACGCCGAGAGCTTTATTCTTTATACATACGTGCATATATGTATATATATATATATACATATATATACATATATATGTATATGTATGTGTATACATATATATACATGTGTATACGTATATATACATATATATGTACATTATATATATATATATATATATATATATATATATAATGTCTACACATATGTGAGACATACCGTCACTTGCGAATTCCATGCTCGTCGAATCGTCCACATCTCGATGGTGATTGCACGGGAACAATTTTCTCCACATGACGAATGTACAATGATTGTCTGCAATGAACCAATGAGGTCTCGTCAACTAATAACATCATTTGGTTGTAATAAACCCAGTAATGTAAAGTGGTGTGCAAAAAACATTTGCGTCAGCTGGGTAGTGCAGCGGTTCAGCACGCACTTCCGGAAATAGTGAGATCTGGGTTCGACTCCCAGCTGACGCAAATGTTTTTGCACACCACTCTACATTACTGGGTTTATTATAACATCACATCACCGGAAGATGCGGCCAATCAAAATGAATACTATTCGGTTACTTTTCGGTTCAAAAGACATCTTCACAAGACCAATTTTTTACCCAGATTTCATGAAACTGACAAAAACGACTGAAATTAGAAATTTAGCAATCAGCAACAAAGTTTCCCACATTTCTCCATAGCGGGATTCTCACTTTATGAACGTGATTCTCCTCAGCTTACCTCAACATGAACAACATTGGCGGTCTGTGTCTTCGGAATAAACGGCCGTGATAGCGCCGAGTTTGCAGCCACTGAGTTGCCGACGGCTCCTCGAGAGGCGGCGATCAGTTGCACGATCTCTGTCGTCAACTCGTCGCTCATGATGTGAGTGTGTGTGTTCACCAGGATTCACCGGTTACACCACCAATACAGTCAGAGAGACGTACCCGTACGAAAAGGAAGATAAGACTTCAGTTCAGGACTACGCCAACTTCATTCGAATCACATAAGATAAATCTGAAATCAGACAAGCGTCAGTAATGGGTTGAATGTACAAAGCCGTAGTACGACGTATGAACATCGCCCGAACGAGTGGCGGCAAAGTGCATAAGAATAATGTGTTTTCGACCATATTCGACACAACGTCAGTGAATGATGTGAGTTCCAACAGACTACTTGACAGTACGACATCACACAAAGAGAAGAACGCAAGAACAAGATTTTCATCTACTGAATTCGTTAACGATCACCACTATACTTCAAAAGCGTAATCCTCTTAGGCGTGGTTTCGACCAAACAGAAATCGGTTATTTCTAAAGACGGTCATTAGCGTATTAGTCTCTGAGTTCCCTGTTGACTGTTGATAATTTCCCAAAACCGAATATTGGGGAGCCCTGAGATTTCAAAGACTCACAACTGAGAATTTGATAATATGAGTATGCTGAAGCTTTTTTGAACTTGATGCGACTTAAATCTACGTTAAGTGATTTGTTCTGTTGAGAAATGGAGGTGTTCGGTTGACTGGGTTGTGGACGACCTGGTCATTCCAGGTTCTGAAGAAGGCAAAAACGTCGAAACATCACCTCTCAAATAGATTGCGATGGAAGCTACGTGCTTGGCTTGAGAAGAAAACAAAGAATTTCACCAAAGCTTTTGAAATTTCAGCGCAAATACGACAGCTGCAAAGATCAACACATTCGCAGGCATAAAATGTCTTGCTCATAATCCTATTTCTTCAACTCTTTGGCCGTTGAAAACATGAGCCATGATGGAATGAAAAAAACCAGGACATGAAATATTTGTAAGTCTTGGAAGCTTTATCGTAGGAAGATACGCGAATTTGAATTTGGAAGACGAAAACTTGAATATTTAGTGGCTATTCTTCTGCAGAGATCAGTTTGACTACGAATCTGAATATGTTTTATTCGAAGTTAGAAGGTTGAACTATCTCCGCTCATAAGTGCAGTAAGATCAATAACGGTCACAACTGACTCTTCATTGGTCACCTATGCATTGAACTCAACGCGTTACGCGAAATCCCGTTAGCAATTGACAAATAACTGACATGATCGGTGACTACTGCGACTAATTAGACTGCGATTCATGATACTTACGTGCCTGATTGGAATTAAACACATAAATTAAGTATGTAGAAAAGAATTTAACGAAAACTGAAGATGACAGAGTCGAGGAGGAACGCACACAGCAGACGGTCAGGGCTTCAGAATGAAACACGTCAATCAAAAGCGCTTAGCATAATTCAACTATTCAAGTCGTGAGAAACCTTTTGAGAACCCTCAAAAACTCACTATTCACAGTATCGTGAAAGAAGTCGTCTTCAGTCGGGTAAGTGACTATGAAATTCTGACTTTCGATGACTTCAACTGATAAAGCAATAGAACCATAAAGCGCTTAAAAGTTTGCCGGTTATTTTGCTATGAAATAAGAGAGGGGAACAAAGAAAAACATGAATTGGAGCCAAATCGAAAGGAATACCGAATCAATTTATTTGAATGAAAAACAACTTTTAGGTAGTTGAAATGGTTAGTCTGTAGAAAATTGAGAAATATTAACGCACCAATAGGATCACATCTCACTACCTAAATGTCAGCGACAATACAAAGCAGTCGACATATATCCTAGGATTATTAATGATATGATATGATATGTAATGATTTGTCAAATGATATGCACAATTTCGAGCCTCAGTTGGGAGTTGAACCCGCGTTTCACCCATACCGGGAACGTGTGTTAGCACTGCACCACCGAGGCCACCGCTCAGACCGCTCTTTCTTCGACATAAAAATTGGTAATATAGTATGAAAGTAGTCTGAGAGAATGTTTGGAGTTTCCGTCGATGAGATGGATTTCTACATATTCACAATCAGCCGTAAACCATCAAATGAAAAAAATGGTGAAAACACAATATCACGTAACTAACTTGAATAACGTCGTCTCATCCCCTGCCATAAAGTAGAGTTAAGTGGGGGGCGTGGGCCACTAATGAAGCGGGCGACACCGTTGAAACGTAAGTCCAACTCTAATGTACAAACCTCGAGGAAATTCTAAACCTGGAAACAATCGATGAGATGTTTCTATATAAAAGCAGTATCACACAAGAAGCTTTCAGTATAAACGAACAGAGCGCATAATAACGTTGTCATGAATATAAAGAGAATGTGATGAGGGCATTACCACAATGAAATTACGAGAAAAATTACTTGGAATCACAAAGATTACCTAAAAATGACGTCATGAGATCAACACTTGCACCTCTATTACCATATTGATCATTTAACTAAAAGAGTGGGATTCCGCTGCTATCTATCCCTAAGGTATACACCATGCATTCGAATCCATGCCTACCACAACAAAGGTGACCAAATGCTTAACCTTAATAATGTAGTAATGAATAGCGATGGCTGACTACTGTTTTACCCTCTTAGACAAATCCTGTTCTGAAATACTATCCGCGAAAGGCCGTGGAACTCTGTTGGGGCCGCGCTTGGAATCGAATCAGCGACTACGCGTGCATTGGGGGCATTCTGAACCTCTGCTTTGCACGCTCCTACTTTATTTTTTATTTTATTACAGTCATTATGATGGTCGTTATTGCTGGAAAGTTCATAGATAACCAAAGGGCGTATCATCACGAAACTGTGGTCCATGGTTCCCGACTTCAATACCGCAACCATGGTGTCCTTCAACCGATTGCCTCCTTTATACCGTCAAACCTCTGGCAGTTAGCAGGCTGGTCTGCCTGCCTTATGGAACATTCTCATCGATAACACTCTCAGCAGGCATTCTGTACAAGAAAAATCTATATTGTGCTGTCTTGATGGAACACAAATGACACCATGGCGCATCGCAATGAGATCGATCAGACTTGGAAACATAGTTCGTCAAGTCTTCACTCATTACATTTACTAGATGAAATAAACAACATATGCCTTTTTCGGGAGGGGAAACTTCTGACAGGTCTAAATCAGAATTTTAGCAACCAACGATTGCAAAGTCAAACCGATGAGCTCATTAACACTCATATTTTTGTTGAAAACAAAATGCACTGCAGATCGAAAAAGCCAATCGTCATTCTTTTTTCGCTGCTCTTACTCTAAAGTAACTACTTAACCAACTTAACTCACCACTCAAACTTATCAAACGCCCGTACACTTTCACATTTTAACAGTATGTTGCCGGGTTTCGTACAAATTTTGTCCCTAAAGTGCAGAGAACCCGTGCCAGGACGTTCTCTTGTAGTCATCACCGGCAATCGTAGGCCATGATGAATAAAGGCTGTTTTCCATCACATGACTAGGTCTCTTCTAGAACAGCGATAATTTCTACAATCCATTAGCTCGAAGGCTGGTTTTGAATATAAATGTTGAGCTTCTATTCAGCTCAGATGGGTAATGCTACTTTGCTACGAACCCAATGCTGCTGATCACCACCAAAGCAGTGAGCCTCATCCATGACAAGACCGTAGAACAATGAGCGAATTTTCTAATCTAAGTATGAACGGATACAGTCTAAGTGCGATATAAAAACTATCATAAAATAAACACACACTAACGAATTTCGTAAATATTATCTGCTTTCTAAATACTCTGAAAGTTATGGCAATGGTTATAATTTCTTAAGACACAATTTCTAACTACTGTTTTTTTTTTTAATTTGAAAAAAAAAAACAAAAAACATTCAGTGCAGTGGTTAGAGGTCCCTAGTAATACACACATGTTTTTAATTCGATATTCAGCCCTAGAATAATTAAGCTCTCCATACTTCCAGGTCAACAAATTTGTGCACTACATGGCTGAAAAGATAACGGCACCGACTTGATGCATGAATAGACCCGCCCTTAAATCATTTTATGAACTAAATTATATCAAGTCAACTTTACCATGCTTATAGAGTCATATGGGGGCGTACTTTCAGACAGATAAAAGCCATTTCATCTACATTAAACCGCCGCGTGTTTTTTAAACATCATTAAGCGCGATTCTCATTTTGTTACTTCGAAAAAAAAAGATTCCTGAAAAAACTCCAAGCAGTAGATCCAACCATACGAATACTCATTCGCTAATAGCCCGACATTACGCAACGTCGCCAACCAGTTTTGCGCGAACGAGCGTTTTAACAACGTTCGGCTTTTCTTATCGGCTCGTTCGCATTTGTTCTGTTACACAGTCGTTAAGGTTTCCAGATGGTGAATACGTTAAGAGAGGAGAAAAAATTGACGATATGAAGTGAGATGAGATGAAAATAATGATGAATGAAATGGGAAAGTCATTACAAAAACACCCCACACCTCTAGATTATCATCAGTAGAAGAAATATTGAATCTCCCTTTCGTTGTTTGCCCATATTTTACCCAAACATGTCACAACGTGGCATTCTTCTTTTTCAATAGATTTTGGTTCAATCGTTTTTCATATGCTTTACAATCGCGTCACTTGAAATTTTCATGTTTTCAACATATTTAGTCAAAATAAAAAATAGAGAATACGCAGTCGTCATTGAAGAACTAATTCATTTTTTTGAATACTGATATAGAATTCTCTCAAACGTCTCCCTTTTTCATTTTATTTGATTTCTTTAGATTACGGGCAGCTTTCACACACCACACTTCTTTGAAAAACAGAATTTTTGAGGAATAAATTATTGGACATATGAAAAGTCCTTCCATTTTTGATAAGCACATACTAAACTATTAAAGCAATATTAATTTCATAGTGTCTGCTATTTTAAAGGATTTTGACATCTCCAGAACCTGCAAAAAGTCACACTGATATGGCAGACCACTTCATCAGTTTTCATAACCATAAAAGAACTTTGTAGATGTAAATCAAACATTCAAGAAAAACTCAAATTGAAAAAAGAATAATCTGGAAAACAGGTAGACGTTTCTGGTTAACTTGAAAATGAGCCGAAATGAACCCATTGAGGAAGTAGTTCATTACACGTAAAGCGGTAGTAATTGATTTCTTCATATGCTATTATGCCATGCTTTTCGTTCCGTATAAACTTTGACAGGTGCTCACAGATTTTAAGAAACGGACGACTTACATAGACAGTGTTGGGGGTGATCATTTTGTGTTCGAAAATTTCTAGCGGTGAATTTGTTATGAAGTTACAAAGATACTTGGTTTGGTCGGGCTTCACGATGACATGATTATACTAGCCCCCCCCCCCCCCAAAAAAAAAAAAAAAAAAAGATTTCGCTGAAACGTCAAGGATCACGAAATAAATGCTATATTTACAACCATATGTGGTTCCATCGAGATCACGATAACTTAATCACTAACGGCGAAACTAATGGAAGGTCGATTCTGCAAATAGCAATGATAAGTGAAAAGTAATTATGAGAATGACAACTAAAAAAAATTACATTCGTGAAATTAAACGCCCTCAAAAAATATAAAACAAGCCCTGAATTTCTCTTCCCTGCCTTTGTGCGCTTATCACTATAATTCATCAAGGTATGAGGATGGATAGTGGAAATCGGAGAGAAGATAAGTAAATATCTACACAGAACAGGGGAAACCAAACCAATCAAAACACTAGGCATCACAAATCTCTAATACTTACTGTCCGCGAATTTGAGAAATTAATGATCCACGTTGAACTCAACACCCTTTCCCCGTTATTACATCTTTCACTTTACACACTTCAAAGTACCGTTTAAGTAGACGAACATTAGAAAGTTTCTAAGTCGATCGCTTCCCAACTCTTCATAAATCAACCCACTCTTCAAAAAAAAATTTTTTTTCGATAAATAAAAATGAATTTCTGCGAAATGAATCTAAACAGCAGCACGACCGCTGAACTCGTTTTAAACCTTGCCGCCAACAATTAATCTAGATTTGCTCTCATTTCGCTTATCGGAGAAAATTCTTATAATGTTCAAATGAGACGGCCCGCATATACACACAGAGGAGTATACACATCTGTACATCGACATAGTTGACATACAGCAATAACACGTGCATGAGCAAAAACAGCAGCAGACATACACATAGGCACACATACACAAACATTGAAACAGCACACACGTAGATGACACCTACATACATACATACATGGTGACATACGCACATACGTGTATACATACGTACATACACATACAGCTACATACAAATACATGCACGATGCCAGCGCACACACACTGAACACACACCTACGTAGAGAAACCAACCGCATACACAGGCCACAGACACATGCACACATACGTAGATTTGCACATACATACATGATATACACATATCCATGCATGAGCATACACAAGCACCTACAGACAGACACACAGAGTCGCACACAAACAGAGACACACACCACACGCACGTACATCATACACCACAGGCACACATATACACATAGCATGGACATGGACATATATACACATCCACATCCATGCATACACATAGACAGAGCCCGCTCTTTGAGCAAGAATTGGGGTGGAATATGTTTTCATACGAAGAGGAAAGGAATTGAACAGAGAGACTAAGCGAAAAACGAGGTGAGTGCTGGCGCAGGCCGACGAGACAGCATGACGCGGAACGAGCAACCGGCAAAATACGACACTTATCCGCGCTCGAAACACCATCGTAGACACCATCAAGGACGGAGACAGGACGAAAACCGCTAATGATGCCTAAGCATTCAATTACTTATCTCAATAAGGTTTTCCGGAATGTTTTTTAATTGTGGCGATCCGAAGATTAAGTGCCATAGCTGAAAACTGCGCTCAAACATGCGCATGTTGTTCAGTGAGA